AGAGAGAAAAATATCTCCCTCTAGCTAGGATCGAACTCACAGCCTCCAGATTGAGTCAAGAGCTCCGCCTCTAGGCCACCGCACCACTCAGCATCCCAATAGTTAAGTGGTCAATATTCAAATACTTGAATACTTGTGATCATCTTTTGCAATCTTCTGACCATCAAAATCAATCAGGAAGCTGGATTCACTTAACAACTGCATTGCTAACTTAACAACTGCAGCAAGGAAAATTGTAAAACCGGGCAAAACTCATCTAATAACTGTCTTGTTTAACAACAGAAATGTTGGACTCAGTTGTGGTTGGATGTCGAGGACCAGGTGTGCTGAAGTGCACTCTACAGAGGGGGAGCCTAGAAGTAATATTCAGAAGCTGCAGATGGTGCAGAAAGGGGTGGCATAACCAGTTTTGGGTGCCCCTAGGGTTGCACATGTAACACTTTTGGAACATTGAGTGCCAATTTGCTTATGGGTCCAATTTAAGGTGTTAGTCACACGTTTAAAGCCCTTCATGGCATCGGACCAGATTATCTAAGGAATCCTCTCATCCCATTTTTTTAAAAAAATTAAATTAAATTTAGTTTTATATGAATCCCATCTTTATTATTTTTACAAATAACTGAAGGGTGGGAACATAGCCAACACACCTTCCTCCTCTTCCTATATTCCACACAAAAACAACCTTTTGAGGTGATTTGGGCTGAGAGAGAATGACTAGCCCAAAATCACCAGTCAGTTTACATGCCTAAGGCGGGAGTAGAACTTACAGTCTCCTGGTGATTGGCCCATAGTCACCAGCCTGCTTTCATGCCGAAGATGGGACTAGAACTCACAGTCTCCTGGTGATTGGCCCAAAGTCACCAGCCAGCTTTAATGGCTAAGGCAATTTCATCTACCCATCGCATCCCAACAGGCAGGGAGGGCACATTTTAGAGCCCATTGATGAAAGAACTTTGATTGGTGAGGTCTAGGAAGAAAGACTTCTATGCTTTCTGCTGCACAGTGACTTGCTTTCTGCTTGTCCTCAGAGGCCAAATGCCTCCATCATCCCGGGCTTCTGGAAGAGCATTAAGACCTGGCTCTACCAATTGGCCACAGAATCCCAGAATGCTTTGCACCCCTGGGGTTGGGTGGAGGGCCGAACAAGCTCCTTCTGGCTTTTAACTTTACAATGGTCCCTTTTCACTTTGTTTTAATCCAGTCTTTAACTTGTTTTTTTAAGAGTGTGTGATGGGTGGTATAAAAATTTGATAAAAATGAATAAAATAAAATAAAGATGGAGACACGTTGAATTTAGGCACAGGCAGGCTTTTGACCAAAAAGGATGACATTTAAAGTTGTGGGAGGTGATAGAGAAGCACAATAGCAATAGCACTTAGATTTATATTCCACTTTACAATGTTTTACAGCCCTCTCTAAGCAGTTTACAGAGTCAGTATATTGCCCCCAACGATCTGATTCCTCAGAAGGATGGAAGGCTGAGTCAACCTTGAGCCTGGTGAGATTTGAATTGCCAAATTGCAGTCAGCCAGCAGTCAGCAGAAGTGGCCTGCAGCAGGGGTGGGATTGTACCAGTTTGCACCTATTCACTAGAACCGGTTGTTAACATTCTAAGCAGTTCGGAGAACTGGTTTTTAGAAGAAATTACTGGCCTAATCCTGTAAGGAAGGCAGGAAGGAAACATTCTGGTGTTGCTTACAGAAACTGCCTCTCCGTTAACCCTTATTACATTCTTGGCAGGACTAGACTTCCTATCTCAGGAACTTCTCTGGAGTTTTTCTTTCCCTCCTTTGCTGGTACTTTGCTTGTGTGGAGTGACCATTCAAAGACACAATGGCACTGAAAAAAGTTACTTATAACCATTTTTTCACACTTACGACTGTTGCAGCATCCCCACAGTCATGAGGCCAGGCGAGGAGATGCGTGCCTCGATGTAAGTGATGTTGAGTTGGCCACACCCAGCCAATAACATGACCACCAAGCCATGCCCACCACCTAAGCCATGCCCACAGAACCGGTTGTTAAAAATTTGAATCCCACCCCTGGCCTGCAGTACTGTATTCTAACCACCGCACCACCGCGGCTCAATGGATAGAGATTGAGCACAATGGATAGACATAAGTCTGTGTTATTCACATAATCTTGGTGGTATAGTAGTTAAAGTGCACTAACTCTGCCCATAGCCTAGAGTTTGATCCTGACCAGTTTAAGGTTGACTCTGCCTTCCATCCTTCTGAGATCAATAAAACGCAATATGCAATATATTGGAATATGCAAATAATGCTTCTACATTATAAACCACTCAGAGAGTGCTGTAAATCACTATGGGGTGGTATATAGCTTGCTATGCTATTGCTATGCTATTGCTATAACAATGCTGTGATTTGTTTTTGAGGGAAATGTTTGTTCCCCCTTACAAGAAAAGCAAATGAAGCATTGTATTGCCACATTTTGAAGCTGGCATGTTAGAGATTCAAAGAGAAACTCCTAGTCTCATATTATACTTGATTCTGATGGGAATATAAAGGGACCGTGATTAGCCTTTGCATTTAAATGTCAGGAGAAGCATCCAAATTTGGAAAGCTTGCATGACATTGGAACGATGTCACTCGCAGGGCTAATTTTCTCATTCAGGCAATGTTTTAGTCAAACCTGCATCAGAAGTGGAAATATTGTGAAATGTACAGTTAATTTCTTTCCAGGTCTACTGAAAGGCAAGACCTACAGAGTTTAATGGAAACTTATCTTCGGGCATCTACCTCGGATTGCAGCCTAAAATCCCCATTGATGGATTCAATTGATCTGCCTCCCTTCCACAATCTTTGTTGTCAGCCTGTGTGAAATCTTTCCTGCATTTGAATGGGGATAAGGAAAGATGTACTTGAATAACCTTGAGATAGATGCCTCACCATCTCATGCTCTTTTCACAAGATGTTTCAGGAGAAATTCCTTGATGCTGTCTAAGCCAGTGCAATTGTTAAAGGATTTATTGACTTAACATAAGCCAAGACTGAATAAATATCCATATACTGTTTTCCTAAGTGGTTTATTTTATTGGGCTTTAACTCCGCTTTACTTTTATAAAGGCCAGTGATTTCCATGCACAAAGCTCTCAGCATCCCCATTAAAGATTCTTGCTTTCTATCTTTGGGAAATATATTGAAATAACACCAATAGTTAAATGTTACAGTAGAGGCTGGATCCTGATTCCATCCTTAGTTTCTTCTACTCAGAAATGGAATAGAATAGAGAGACAATGTGTTCTAATGGTTAAGGTGCTGGAATAAGGTAGAGAAGACCCAGGTTCAAGTCTACCCTCAACACGGGTGTCTTTGGGTGAGTCACTCTCCCTCAATCCAATGCTTTGTGTTGCTGCTGTGAGCATAAAATGAATGAAGATATTTGAAAGTTGCATTAGGACACCAAAGAAAGGTTAGGATTATAAATTGATCGATTGATGGTGATGATGATGACGATGATGATTGAAAAGAAAACAAATGTAATAGCAATAGTAATAGGCTCCTTGAGTGCAATCCCAAAAACAACTGGATCACCATGCAATCCTCAGTTGTATTAACAGAGGGATACAGTCAAGATCAAGGGAAGTACTAATACCACTCTATAAAGCCTTAGTAAGACCACACCTAGAGTACTGCATCCGGTTTTGGTCACCACATTATAAAAAATACGTTGAGACTCTAGAAAAAGGACAGAGAAGAGCAACCAGGATGATTAGGGGACTGGAGGCTAAAACATACAACGAACAGTTGCAGGAACTGGGCTTGGCTAGTCTAGTAAAGAGAAGGACCAGGGGAGACATGATAGCAGTCTTCCAATATTTGATGGGCTGCCACAGGGAGGAAGGGTTCAAGCTATTTTCTCAAGTGCCTGTAGGCCAGACAAGGAATAATGGATGGAAACTGAACAAGGAGAGATTTAACCTGGAAATAAGGAAAAACTTTCTGACAGTGAGAACAATCAACCCATGGAACAGCTTGCCCTCGGAAGTTGTGGGAGCGCCATCACTTGAGACTTTCAAAAAGATATTGGACTGCCATTTGTCAGAAATGGTGTAGGGTCTCCCGCTTGGGTGAGGGGTTGGACTAGATGACCTACAAGATCCCTTCCAACTCTGATTATCTGTTATCTGTTACCACTTGAACACCATTGACATTGACAAATCACCATCAGTCAATTGCAGAAGGCAGCTTTACTTAGAACAGCTTATATCTGTGATGTACCTTTAACAACATCAGCTACCTATCTAAAATCCTTGGGAACTCGATAGGTGGATTAAAAATGCCAAATCCAGTTTCAACATCTGGCTAACTGTGTGACAAAGCATAATAGCATAGAATGTATGCTCTTAGGGAGGGAGGTGGGCTAGAATTTTGATTCCTTATAAAAAAAAAGATTGCATAGACCAGGGTTCTGCAACCTTAAACACTCAAAGAGCCATTTGGACCAGTTTCCCACAAAAAAGAAAACACTGGGAGCCTCAAAACCTGGGCGGGCGTGGCCAACTCAACATCACTCCCACCCAGTCACATGACACCCCCGCACACACACACGCCTACCCAGGTTTTGTGGCTCCTGGTGTTTTTTGTGGGAAATGGGTTTTTTTTTCTCTCTCTCTCCCTCCTTATCATTTTTGTTTTTTGTGTTTTACCTTCTCAGGCCAGGCGAGGAATGACTGGGAGGGGAGGGTGAGGGGCGGAGCTAGCCAGTAGTAGGATCACCCAACAGGGAGCCACAGCAGAGGGCCCAAGGAGCTGCATGTGGCTCCAGAGCCATGGGTTGCTGACACCTGGCATGGACCATATCTTCATCCTTCATTCAAGCTATATGAAGGGAGCATTCCTCTGCCCGCCACTTCATCTCTAGGAATTTTGCCAAAAGCAACCGCAAGATATCAAAAACCAATCTAATCAGTTGTGTGCTTCTTGGAATGTAATTGCCCAGCATCTTTCCAAACTAATGGTTTGCTTTTTCTCTTCTAGGGCAGAGCCAGTTCTTTCAAGAATCCAGGAGAACCGCAAAAGGGTCATCCTTCCGTCAATTGACAATATTAAGCAGGACACCTTTGAGGTGCAGCGCTATGAAAATTCAGCCCACGGATACAGCTGGGAGCTGTGGTGCATGTATATTAGTCCGCCAAAGGATTGGTGGGATGCAGGAGACCCTTCCTTACCTATCAGGTTAGTTTTGAAATGCAAGTTATTAGGTATTCAACCATGTCTTATTTTCCTTTTTTAGGGGGGATTTTTCAGAGTGGAATATAATGTCACATAAATCAACATCTTAACCTGATGCTAGTATTAGAACTTGGCCAATTTATCATATTAAAAGCTTTTCCTTCTGAACCAAGCTCCGAGTGAGCAGAATTTTGGAGTGTTGACTGGAAACAAACAAACAAACAAAAATATCGAGAACAGACACCAGTTATTATTTTCTTGATTGTTCTTATTGTGTTTATTGGATGGCTTTCCTTATAAAAGGGATGAGCAGCATGGTGTGGTAGATATTTACTTTGGTTCTAAATAGTCTTCATGTCCCTACTAATCATCAAAACTTCCTCCTCCTCCTCTTCTCCTTATGCTGATTTTAACTTTATACAACCAAATCTTACCTTAGAAGCTAATTGGATCACTTTTAACTCTACAATATTCTCCCACTTTTTTGTCTGATTGATTTTTCTCCAACATAAAAAGAAAAAGAAATTAATTACAAGAATGCTTCTTGAGACCCTACATAACACACACACACACACACACACACACACACATATATATATATATGTGTGTGTGTGTGTGTGTGTGTGTGTTTTCTTAAGTTTTCGCAGGTACTTACATGTATGGCATTCAGCTTTGTTCGGGTATTTTCCCACGTCATTATAGTTGTGCTTTTAAAGTTGTAGCAACATTTCGGCAGAATCTCATCTGCCATCATCAGGCATCTGTATTGTGTTCGTCTGTGAGTCAGACTTTCACAGCTGTTTCTGTTTTAAATTTGGTGCTAGCCTACGCTGTGCCAGAATGGTTTTTTCTTCATAATGATTGGTTGGGAGTCTTGGTCTGTGTTTATTGGTCTTGGAGTTTGCTGTGTTCTGCTTGATTGGTGTTTCTAATATCTTCTGTCTGTTTTGTAGTTGTTGTTTTTTGTCTTGATTGGCTGGCAACATTGTGTTTCCTGTATTGGAGGCTTTTAGTGCAGCTTGGTTCCGAGTAAATGGACGGCTATCATTTATTAGGAAGCTAGGTTTCATCTGGGTGCCTGGTTGGGGTGTGTTTGAGCTGGAGGTATCAGGGGGAGTCTGTTTGTACATCTGTGTGGGTGTGAATCTGCTTTCTACGTGGA